CAAGATAACTATTGATGTATGAGAACTCTACTAGTGGAAGGTAAGTGTCCCAACTCCCTCCAAAGTCTAACATGCATGATCGAAGCATATCCTCGAGCGTCTGGATCATCCGCTCGCTCTGACCATCAGTCTAGGGTGGTAAGCAGTGCTAAAATGCAACTGAGTACCCAAATCCTCATGAAACTTCCTCCAGAATCTGGAGGTGAATCGAACATCGCGGTCCGAGACCACAGATACCGGTACTCCGTGCCCAACCACCACTTCCCTCACATAAACATCTGCTAATTTCTCGGTAGAGATACTCTTGAAAATCGGAATAAAATTAGCACTTTTGTTCAACCTATCCACAATAACCCAAATGGAATCAACACCTCGCGTCGTCCTAGGCAACTTCGTGATAAAGTCCATGGTGATCTCCTCCCATTTGCATTTGGGGTTGGGTAATGGTTGAACCTTGTCGTGAGGCCTCTGATACTCGGCTTTGACCTTCCTGCAGGCTAAAAACCGCTCAACAAACAAAGCAACTTCCATCTTCATGCAGTGCCACCAATAGCTCAATTTCAAGTCTCGGTACATCTTCGTAGCCCCGGATGGATAGAAAACTTTGACTTCACCTCCTCCAAGATCTTTTGCCTCACTCCCCCAAATGTCGGAACCCAATTCTTGCCACATTAAGTCAATAATCCCCGGCTTTCTCGAACAAACAATGGAATATGCCCCCGAATTCGCTCAGTCTTCCAATTATCCTTTTTCAAACCCTCCACCTATGCCCCCTTGCTCATATCCATCAAAGGTGAGGTGATTGTCATCCTCAAGAAAACATCTCAGATCAGAGCATCTGCCATTTTACAGCTCAAAGCATCGGCCACCACATTGGCCTTCCCGGGATATACAAAATCTCACAGCCATAATCTTTCACCACATCTAACCATCTCCTCTGCCGCATATTCAGATTCTGTTGATCCATCAAGTACTTCAAACTCTTGTGATCAGTGAAGATAGTGCATCGAACTCCATATAAATAATGCCTCCAAATCTTGAGGACAAACACCACCACCCCCAATTCCAAGTCATGATTAGGGTAATTCGCCTCACGAGGCTTCATCTGCCTCGAGGCGTAAGCAATCACATGACCCCGCTACATCATAACAGCTCCCATACCTGAAATAGAAGCGTCACAATACACTATAAAATCATCTAATCCCTCGGGTAGCGCCAGAATTAGGGCCTTGCATAATTTTTTGTCTCAAGGTCTCGAATGCCAATTGCTGATCTGGACCCTACCGAAAGGTCACACTCTTCTTGGGAGAAAAAGTAATTACCTCAACTTCGACCGTTACAACATGTTTCCGTATCATTAACTTTGTTTCAAGTTTTTACCATTTTTTTCCTTACACCAAGTGTTGTCAAAAATCAGTCTGCTTATTAAAACTATTGGACATTTTGAACCCGTGAAGTTCAAAATGTCGGCATCATTTGACTGGAGAATTTTTCTCTTTATTATTATGTTTTTTATTTTTATTTTTATTTTATTTTATTTTTATTTTTATTTTTATTAAGATTCTCTATATGTATCCTTGTTTTATTATCTATATACAGTTATGCTTGTTTCATTATATATATATATATATATATATATATATATATATATATATATATATATATATATATATGTATGTATGTTTCATTTTCTATATTTTCTCTATTTTCAAAATGAATTCAAATGTTCAAAAAATAGTAATGGAAGTTAACGATGATAGTTCATCATTTGAGGATGAACTTATCAACAATAATTTGTTACATGTATTGTCTCGTACTACACAACAGCTTCTTCAGAACAATGCTAGTTCAAGCATCATTCAAAGAAGAAACACAATCCACATAGATCGTTTAGAGGCTGAACGATTGTTGATCCGAAATTATTTTGTAGATGATTCAACCTGTGGCACGCGCAATTCCGCAAAAAGTTTCGTATGAGCAAAGGTTTGTTTATGCGACTTGTTGGTGACTTGGAGACGAATCATCCTTATTTTCAAACAACATGGGATGCAAAAAATCAAAGAAGTTTCAGTGTGCTACAAAAAATCACATTTACAATACGTCAATTAGCGAAGGGTTATAACCCATACTCATTAGATGGGTATCTTAATATGTCAGAAAGAACTTATCGTGAAACTCTTGAAAACTTTTGCTATGGTGTTGTCCAAATGTATAAGGTTGAATATTTACACCGTCCAACATCCACTGGCATTCAACTCTTTTATGAAGTACATGAAGCTAGACATGGAATCCCTGGAATGCTTGGTATCATTGACTGCACACATTAGAATTGGAGGAATTGTCCAATAGAATTGAGAGACCAATACATGAGGGGTGGCCATCAGTATCCATCAATGATACTAGAAGCGATGACGTTACAAGATTTATGGTTTTGGCATGCATTCTATGGTGTAGCCGGTTTTAACAACGATTTAAACGTCCTCTACCAATCACCATTGTTTGATGAAAAATGTCATGGAATAGGACCCGATTGTTCATTTTATCTGAATGGTGAACACTACAAACATGGTTAATATCTTGCAGATGCAATATATCCATCATAGGTTGTATTTGTGAAGGCATATCCATTTCCAGTAACCGAAAAAAGGATACGGTTCAAGGAGGCACGAGAATCAGCAAGAAATGACGTAGAACGTGCTTTTGGGGTACTTAAAGGACGTTGGGACATATTAAAAATGTTTGCACGAGCTATAAGGGTGAAGAAAACAACAAATATAATGTATGTGTGTATTATACTACACAATATGATATTGAAAGATGAGGGTGCTGCGATATCTCATGTGTATCAGCCCAACCCCCCCCCCCCCCCCACCCCCACTTCCACCGACGAAGTTGATGACGAAGAAATAATACATGATATAAGCAATGTTGAAAGCAACCACCAACTTCGATCCGATCTTACTGATTACATTAAACATGTCTACATTCCAACTCTAGATAATAAATAGTCAAGGGATTTTCTAATATGTGCCTTAAGGGCACATATAAGAAACATTAATTGATGATATATATTATCATAATTAATTATAAAATACATTAATTATAAGAAATATTATCATAATTAAATGTGAAGTGCATTAATAATTTTCATAATAAATGTATTTCGAATTTAATTATGGTAATATTTTTTTATAATTAATACTTCTTATGTGTGCCCTTATGGCACATATTAGAAAATCTCAATAGTTAATTCCAACTCTAGATAATAAATAGTTAATTTATATTTTCCAATTTAATTAAATAAAAAAGAATATTAAATGTTATTTTTAATATTATTTTAGAATTTTTTTGAAATTAGTGAAAAGAAATGAAAAAATATTTTTATTTTAATTTATATTTTCTAATTTGATTAAATAAAAAAAAATAATATGGAAAATGGATTGGGAAAGATAGAATTTTCGTATGTTATGGAGTAGGAAAGATAGAAGAAAAAGAAAATAGAAAAGTTGATATGGTAGTGATGAGTGGGTTGGAAGGAAAAAACTCTCTTCTCCTTAAGGGGCCTAAAATATATGGCTATAGTATATGTATATAAAAAATTTTAATTTACATGTATATTTGTTAAGGGTCCGAGCCAAATTAAATCAATATCAAATTAGCCCAAGAAACTAATGGGAAGGTTGTTGGGAACGCTAAATGCATCTGAGAATTAAGCACAATGTCCGGTACAAATTAGGGCCATGAATCACACATCAGGAACGAATCGACACCTTGTTAGTCGTGTGAATAATTTATTCAAGGTCATGCCTTGCTGCCTTGTGTGATCAGGCGCCTTCTTTTTTTTAACGACAAATGAATATATTAGAAAAAACAAAATGGGCAATAAGCGAGAAGCTTAGAGCCACATTACAACAAGATGTTTGATAATATGGTCATACACCATAAAGACCAATCAACCTTAGAATAATTGGACCTGTTTTTAAACCAATTAAAAATACTAATATCATCCATCAAAAACATGAAGCTAATGGTGTTTGTCGTTTAAAATTTGGACTTTGTTGATGCCTTACCTAGTAATTACCTATAGTAATTAACGTAAGAAAGGTTGAATGCATTGAGAATATCATGTATAGAAAAATATAGGTTAGACAAAATAGACTTTGATGGTATTACAAATGATTTTGCATCTTAAAAACCTAAAAAGAAATGTTTTTCTTCTTTTAGTTGTTGTTTTTATAAAGGTTGTGGCTATACTTATCCCGGACCCAAAATATGTTTAGATCGGCCATGCTTACAACAAAAAGCCAGAGGAGCTTCAAAATTGCATCTAGTTGAGACTATTTTGCATGATCACTTCCATAATCAGCAATAACAATGTATTTTCATCTCTTTACATGTAATAGAGACATATTTATATTTCCTACCAATAATAGCACTTCATTTTGTGTGTTACACATCACTATTATTTATAAAGAAAGGTAAGTAAGTTGCTATTACAGGTAATGAATTGTTAGTACATTGCTATGATGATTAAAGATAAATTACATTGTTATCATGGGCTGCATAGGAAAGAAAAGCATATTACACAAAAAAGATGCTTCTAATCAACACACAAAATTGTCCAATGCATGTTGATCTATTTCTTCAACATCAAGCCCATATTATAGTTTAACTATAAGAATAAGAACAAAATTTCCGGTTTACAAATTATAACCACCAAAATCATTCAAAAATAATGATTTAGTAGTATAATTTGTTGCAATGAAATAGAAGAAAAGGTTTAATCCCAAATCCAAAAAATCACTCACATTATAGCTGACTTTGAAACCTTCATGAGTTGTTTTGACTAAGCTTATCATGGCATCAAGCATTTTTCATCAAATAAACTTCAACCCTCCATGCTCTAATGCCACGTCATCTCAAGGACACATGTCACGTCCTCAGTTATTGACAGCATTTAAGCTTCTTTCGGTTTCACTTTCACCCTCCACGTGTATTCATGTTACTGGTTTAATGGTTTTTCTTACCACCGGCTAAAATACGTTGGATCTGTAACCCTCTGCTGAAAGCCTGGTTAAAAAGCAACCTGGTTTGAAAATCATACACCATCGGGAACCACGCAAGAATAGCCACCGGAGTAAAAATCAAGACACCCATTAAATACTCATACCCTCGCCCTAACGCCTTCACCGACCCCCACATCCCCAACACCCTCACCGCCGGCCGACACGCTTGTGCTATCTGCAGAATCGCCCATCCCGTCGGCAAGAACGCAAGTAAGCTCGCGAATAGATCGCCGATTGTGAGTCCGGCCAACTGAAACATCATCGTGAGTGCAACGACGAATCCAACAAATAAACATAGTTTAAGAAGACGAAACATTAATTGGAAATCCGCGCTGAATTTCTTTCTACCCATGGACACGATTTTCAGTAATGCGATAACGAAAACGATTACGAGCCATGAGAGAGCGTACACTAAGATTGATTTATCGTTTTGGACGACTTTGAGGTGGTAAACGATACCGTATTGGTAGATGAAGAATCGAAGAGAGAGGAGGATTTCCGTCAGACGACCACCTGTACCGGTGGATCGGAGGTGGTCCTGTTCTTCCTCCCACCACGATTCCCAGCTTTTGTTCGCCGGAACACCGATTCCGCCGTGGTTGCTGATCCACGCTGACCAGTCGTCCCAGTCTTCAACGATTTTCTGCCATTCGAATCCGGATGGGTTGAAAAGAAAAGGGGCGAACAGCCACGACACGACTAGGAACCACATTGAGATGGTTAGGAATATGTACACGTTGCCATCGGAGAATGCGGATCCGTACGCGTTGTAAACAATGAGGAGAATCATCAGTTCCATTCCTTTCGTGAAATGACTCCGGGAATACATTCTGTAGTTTTCTGCGAACTTCTCGTGTCGGACAACGAAGCCGCGTCCGGTGGCTCTGTATTTGGCGCCGCCGTGGAGAATTGTGCGACCGAAATAGTGAAGTTTGGTGCCGAGAGAGAAGGTGAAGAAGACAGCGGAGAGCTGGAGGTTCATGATTATTAGGTCACCGAGTGCAGTTCTGAAGCCTCTTTCGAGTCCGATCTCCATAATCATCGGTAACGCCATTAAAAGACCAAGTTGAACTACAGATTGAGAAGCCATGGCTGCTTTCAAAGCTTTATCTCCTTGCATCTTTGCTGATTTCATAATCGCTTTTTCTAATCCACTTAAACAGAGATATAATCTCCCGTATAAGAACGCATACACAGTAAGCATCACCATCTGAAACATAAGATAATTTGTCATTTTTTTTAGACACTTACACTGTTACACACACATATATATACAGATATTATGGTACCATTGAGCTAACGTAGAAGCCTGTCGTGGTATAGAAACAAGAAAGCATCCGGAAGAAATCAAAACGATGGCCTAATCTGTAAATATCGCGACTCAACGTCTGTTCGCCATTACCACATGCAACTTTTGCTTCGAAAAGTGAGATCTGGTTAAGACCGACGTCTCTCCCTTTTCCGACTTGTATGTATTCATGGTGAGTTATATTGCCTCGTCTGAGTGTTGAGTTGAATCCTACGTGTCAATATTGTAAGATACATGTTATATATTTCTTGAAAGTAGGTTGATGTTTGTTGAATGTGTATGTATGTATACCTGCAAAGATGTCTTCGCTTAGATTGATGCCTTTTGAAGCTTTACTGATGCCACCTCGTGTGATGTGGAAAATTCTATCGAACACGTCTGGATGCCCGTAGTGGAACCGAACCCTAAATGATGTGTAATGAATTTGTAAATAAAAAAATGATAAATTAAAATTATCTCATCCTATAATTACTTTGTAACATTACAAAGAAAAGCGAAACATACTTTAAAGGTCTTGCGAGAACACGTTGACCAATTGTGACAAAGCTTGTTTCTTGATTTGACATAAACCACGCTAAAGAAGAAACACTGCAGTTAAGTGTTGTAAAAATATGAGTTTATATTCTATCAGACCTTGATTCAATTAACAACTATCTAACAAAACATAATTGAATTTTTCTGACCTTCCTGTAAAGATATGTTCGCGAACACCCAAAATTGTTGGAGATCGGACTCCGTGATCTTCATTAAATTCTTCTAGAAGGTTCCTCATTTTGAAAGCTTCTTCCAAATAGTTGTCTTGATTCATGTCAATAGTCTGAAGAGCTTCGCCTCTTGTAAAGATTATGGCATGGTTTTGATTCTCAGGCTTCCCTTCTCCTATTTTTGGATTCCCAGGTAATCTTATCCTGTAAATTTCCTTCAAAAAAAAAAAAAAAAAAATACATGAATTCGCCACGAAGTTTTACAAAGTGAATTTTTTTTTAAGAAAAATGAGAAAAATATGAACTCAAATCACCTGATCAAGATTCTCAACAGCTTTAACCAAGACAGAATAGTACACCTTTTGTGATTTTCCTCCTTCTCTTTCTTCAACTTCATCAATATAGGCCACACGAAGAGATGGATTACTAAAAACATATCAGGAGCAAATTAGTTAAATTAATCAGCCATAAAAAAAAATGTGAGATTTTTATTTTTATTTTTTTTGCTAAGAATACTTACTTAACCATTAAATTTAAAATATCTGTTGCGCGACGATCTCCTGTGCGCTTTTGGTTACCATACATTTGACATGTTGCTACATAAGTGAACTTCATATCAGCAATAGCCTCTAATCGAGCATTCAATGAGCTTTGACTTTTCTTCTCATCTTCTGATGGAATGCTGATAGCTTTATAACCTTCCAACATTTCTGCATGATTTGCATATAGATAGATTTAACTCGAAATTAATGTTAATTATAAAATTAAAATTAAGGAGCTAAAATATTTATTCTTACCTTGCTCATTAGCCATGTCAAGGAAAGCTTGAAGCTTCAACGCCCTTCTGTAGTACATCATCCCTCTAACTGAACAAAACAAAACAAAACAAAACCAAACCTCATTAGAAATAATCATAACATGGATGAAAGTATTTAATTCAAATTATTAATTTCATATCACTTGTTCTGCAAAGTGTTTGTCCTCTTAAGGAGACCCAATGTCTAAGCTGTAAAATGTTTTCATCGCTTTCAAAAATTCCGGAGTCTTCTTTACAATCAATACGCTCCATGAAATTTTCCCATTCATCTGAAGAAAGTAAAATAACAGGATTATTAAAGCATTTGGACTTATAAGAAAGTAATATAATAAAAGTTAGATTTTAAAACCTGGGAAGATTTTTCGGAGGTAATATTTGATGGATATACCATCTTCATTTTCCATATCGAGGTCACTCTTTGAATAGACTGTCTCTTCACTATAGTAAGGGGTCATGACACTGCAATTTTAAATGAAAGTAATCTGTATTAATAAGAGCCAAATGTGTTTTAAATTATGTATTTTTTTTTCACCTAAATGATAACATTTTGCGGACTCGAGGTGCACGTGGCATATTCATGAACAATGAGTTTGTAAAAAACATGATCCTTCGTCTTGCTTCAAGGTTTCTAGGCACATCCATGGCAGATTCCTTAACTGTGAGAAGGAGATAAAGCCGCTTTATCTGTGTAATCATAACAAATAAATGGCGAAAATTCAAACTTTAGACTATTATTAAAGTAGTTGAATAGAAATAAGTATAACCTGTTCTTCCCATTGTGAGGTTACTGGAGGAGGAAATGCAATAGCATGCTCTGAATCCGTGACTTTTTCAAAAAGTTGCCTTCCAGAATCCTGTCCAAGTTCTGCCAATTCACTGAAATAATCAAATAACTCCTTATTATTCTCTGTTAGGTCAAAACAGGAAAATAAATATTCCATATTAAACAGATTAGTCAAATTCACCAACCGAATTTCATTGACCATCATATCACGGGTAACTACTTCTAACATATCCTGGAGTAGCAAAACTACAGTGTTGTGCTTTGATTCATCAGCATTTTTCTGCAATATAAACAAAAAAATTATGTTAAATGAGTTTGTTAATTTAACTACTTTTATGTGAAAGGACTTGGTTACCCACCAACATTTCTACAAGCTTCACAAACTTGGCGCAAAGAGTAGGTAGAGAACTCATCCTGAAGTTGGTAAGTAAGGAGTTTTTTGATATGCTATTTTCAACTTCTTTAATTATAATCCCAATAATCCTGTCATCATGAAATAATAAATAATTAAGTGACTGAATAAAGGTTTCTAAAAAGTATATTCAAAAAGTAATATAATCAACCTTTTTTCAGCATCTCCTACAATCACAGTATTGAGGATGCGTTTGAAGGTTTCATAGCATTCAATAATAGCACACTTCATATATTCATCAGCACATATACGCTTCCAGAGGTCAGAGTCCTTGTATTTAAACTGAGCTGCCATATCAAGTGCCACTGGGATCTAAGCCAGAAAGGGTAAAATGGTAATATCAGTCACAGTAGGCATTAAACAGATGGAATATGGATAGTAATTAAAAAGACTAAACTAACCTTGCTAGCAAGCAAAAATGGGGGCCATTGAACTACTATAAGGGTAGGATCTGAAGAATATGGAACTAGCATCAGGTCCATCTCCCTGTAATAAGCAAAAGTACAACCAGTTAAGTTTCAACTCTTTACTTTAATGAAAAAAGAAAAAGTCAAAATTGGTCAAAGTCAAACGGTCTTTCCTGTCACTTATGAGATCTTCTTCACGGAAACTACATACAACTTCATTCCATAACTGAGCAAACTTTGCTGCTTCGGTTCTCTTGTCAGGTGTAACCTAATTTTACATAAGAACAACATTTTCACATTTATCATTTGAATTTTTTTAAATATTACATCTATAAGAAAACAGAAAATACCTGTTGGAAATGCTTAACCAGAGAATACCATCTACTCTTACTTCTATCTGAAGGCACTAAATTTGCATTAAAGGCGCCTGGGATAGACTGGAAGCGGGACCTTAGCATGATCAAAGTTCGAATCTGTGAGAAAAAAAAACATAAATAAAGATTATTTTTATGTCATTTTCATATTTTATCTAAGTGATATTTCAGGAAATGTTTAATTTTTAACAAATATTGAAGTATTGTACCTCTCCCAAACGATCAAAGGCCCCAATAACTCCACCACATAAAGTTGCATATATAGCATACCATATTTGAGTGTCCATAAAGTAAACCTGTGTAATTAATAAATATGTCATATTCATGCAAATGAACAAAAAACTTAGTGACAAAAAATATGAGAATTTTAATCAAATTATAGGATGGTTTAACATAACACACCAATATAACAGGCGTCCAGAGGGCAAGAATAGCTCCAAAGTTACCTTTAGCTGCACATGCATAATGCATTATAAAAAGTGAAAAAGAAAATAATAATAATAATAATAATAAGCAAAATCTAAAGGTCACTGAATACCATTTGGGAAGAATTCATGCCATGCATATTCAACTTGATCGATGTTCATAATATCTTTTGTCGGCTCAACTAGTGGTTTTATCTATTGAAAAACAGAATAACATTACTACAGTAATTTTCTATTTTATCTAAAAATATCACAAATTTAGCGAGAGTGTATTAGTAAATACCTGAATGAAAAAGCTAAAGGCAAATTTCGAACATAGAAGAACCACCCAAAAGAGAGTATACCTATACATATTATAAAAGTGAAATAATGATCTTCTGTGTAAAAAATAGTATGAAGTAAACAAATAAAAAACTATGTACATACTTTATAAGGGCAAACTGACTTTCATGCATTCCCCTCCCCACATAGATTCTTGGCTGCAGAGAATAAGACAAAGGGTAAAAATGGAACTTCATAGTTGTGGGTAAAAGGGTAAAAATGGAACTTCAAGAATAAAGATTATAGTTATATGATGTACCTGTGACCACCATAGGAAGAATCTTACAATAAGCCAATCAGAATTCTCAATCCATCTTCGAAGCATAGGAAATATAAACAAACCTGCTGCTAGTAAATTTGGCAGCAAGTATAAAGCCACAGCTATAATATATAAAGGAGGAATGCCTTTTAAATTATCAAGAAAAGAACTATAATCTTTTAGTTTCCCAAAAAGTAGTGCCTTAGGGTCAGCTTCTTGTGCATAACAAACTGGAAGAATAATAGTCCATCCAAGACTTATAATAATCTTTAAATACACCCTCAAAACATCAGTAAACTTCCATCTACGATACCCTGGGTGGTTCAAAACAAGGTCCAATATACCTACAGAATGAATATTTATTTCAATAAAAATAATAACAATAACTGTTTATTTTTATATATTGCAATAAGAGAGAGAATAAACATGAACATACTTTGAATGAAACGAAGAGCTGCTGCTGTAATGAAAATACTGGATATTTTATATAAGACATGCATGTCAAAGATCTCCAATACTGAAGTATCATCCCATGCAATAATCAACAAAACCTACATTTGAAAAAAAATTCAATTACATTTCGTAAATTTGATTTTTTTTTAATCTCATCTGTTTATTACCTGAAGAACAAGTATGAGAAATGTCCACAAACGATCAAAACTTCGAAAGTTATGCCAAAAAGATCGTGTCTCAACAAAATATGATTTTTGCATGCTGACAGGCTGTTGATGAGTTCGTTGTTTTTTTCCCTGATATTGCATATTCATAAATTATTAATCAAAAAAATAATCTTTAAGCGTTTAAGACTACAATACAACCATGATGTAAATACACAGAGATGAAAAACCTGCTTTGTGTCGCGTATTGATTTAAAAAATTCATCACTATTACGCATAGGCCAACTCAAAGAAAAACAATTAGGTGACCAGAAATATTCATTAAGATCATCATAATTGCACCACTCTGAGTAAGGAGCCTTTCCATTTCTACTCCTTTTCGCTTCCTATAGCATAACAACAAGCATTAAGTCTAAAAAGTAACAAAACAAAGTTTGACTCATTGACTTATTGACTTATTGACTATACCGTGTCTATGACTTGATAAATTGGAGTTATAACTTTGCGAAGAAACGCCTCGTCCTTATTACCATATGCAGGTTTGATGTTTTCTGCAGTCACAGCAGTAACATTTCCAGCTAACAGGCCTTGAAGTTCATATGCCATCTGAAAGGATATATAATATATATCCAGTTGTTAATTCAATTAATGTATAACTATAAAATATAAATCAGTTAGATGAATTGTTATTTGTTACAGACAAATGAAATACTTACATGGTGAAAGATGTAGCATAGACACTCTGGCATGAAGCGAACATTAGCTGCTTCACCCCATATAAGAAGATATAGGCCCATATAAAGTATTTTTCTCTGTTGAACTTCTTGTTTTACTTTAGGGAGCTTTATGCTGTGTCTCCTTCCCATGTACTTGCACCAGGTTTTATAGTTTTTAAAAAGTTTTGTCATAACTTCATCCACAGCTCGATCATCAAGCTGCATAATAACAGTGGTTAGAAGTTAGAAGTTAGAACTTAGAAGTCAAATAGTCAAAAGTGAAAGGTAAGATTTATATGAGGTGCGTTCATGTTCTTGCCTTGTTGGCAGATTCAGAGGACTTGTGTTTAAGTCTTGCTTGAGGATGTGCTAGTTGCAAGATCAAATGCTCCCTCTGGTTTCTGACATTGTCTCTCTGGAGATATTTTCAAACATATGTTAAAAGATAACTTAAATAATGGAAGTTAGTGATGATGCTGATGTGTCATTACATGCCTGAAACCCAAATGTTGCTCTTAGCCAATCAAGGAGATCCAGTTGTCCTGATGTTTGTCTATGTGGATCCTCGTCAGCTGAGGTGGGCCAATTTAAACCGCTTGTGTTACGTAGAGCAGACACTGATGCCTTAATCTGTAGTGTGAGAAAATATAAAAGTAAAAAAACCAAGTTAAGTAACAATTATTTCTATATTCATCTGTATACAGAGAGAGATCTCCTGTAATTCATTATTCACAATACAAATCATGTGGCATATTAACTCCTTAGAAAAGAAAACGAAACAGAGACTAAACAGAGAGAGTACCTCTTCGAACTGCATGATGCACTGTGACTCGCCAGCGGAATCAAGGGGTAGAATGTTGTAAGGTGCGTATATACTCTGTTTTGCTTCGATATCTCTAGCTGATGCAATGATCTAAACACAAAGAATCACCGACATTATGAGGTATAAAAAAACAAAAGCAATTAGCTCAAGGGAAGAAGGACAGTGAAACTGACGTCAGCGGGAACTTCTTCCGCCATATCCGACTTGTTAACCGAGCAGAGGACTTCATACAGAATTCCGGCCACCTGGTAAGCTTTCCCCAATTGGCCTCTGATAATCAAAACAACATGAACAACAACTATAAGAAACGTTTGCTCACTTTTTCATCCATGAACATAATAAAATAAAATGATCGATGGATATACCTATCTGCTTTTTCGCCCTGATCAAGTGCCATGACATATTTCTCATAGTATTGTTTGTAGTAGACCTCGATTTCCCGCGCATCCGTCTTGTTGACACGAGCTGCGAGACTTGAGGCATTCTCCTGATAAACCACACTCCCGGTTTCAGTTGATGTTGTTCGGAATAGGGTGTTAGGGTTTCAATTCGTAGTTAGGCAAACGAGAATACGAGATAATCGCATAATGAAAGCGAACAGTGCAAATCAAAACTGAGATTTCAGATTATGAACCGAAATTGTACAGCATTATAATCCCTTCGTGCATTTTGTGCTTTCGAGTACGAACAAATATGGTACTGAAACCCCCTCCCATTTTAATCAAATATATACTCCCTCCATTTCTGGCGTATAATACGAAAAGAGGAACGTCGTCGTTCAACGTGTTCTTTTTTTGGCTTTTTGGTCCTCCCACATAATTTACATTTTGTTCGAATTAGGAAAAAAAAAAAATAAACAAACAAACAAATTACTAGTGATTTGGTAAAAATTATGTGTTTTGGTTTCTAACATTTATTTTTGCACTCCCCCCCACCAAACACTCCGAGTGCCCCCCCCCCCCCCCCCCCCCGAAATAAATGTAAATTAAAAAGCAAAGGGAATATCAAAAGTGTGATCCAACTTGCGATGCTTAATTTCTCACAAATGGAATATCGTGTGACCTATCTCATTTGTGATCTTAAGACTTAAGTTGTATATGATCATAATAATCTTGTTTCTTTCTGTAATTAAGATGTTTTCTTCCTAATTTTTACTGTTTGCATCAACAAAAATTATGGGTTGTGTTTGAAAACTTAAAGTTAATTTCATATCAACGTCTTAATCAACATCAAGCTATAATATATATTGCACACCCAATACCTTACAAGAAAATTTGAATATGAGTTCATATTGGTATGATATTACGATCCCAATCCAATATAGAGATCATGATCTCGCGCAAAACGTTAAATGATATTGTGTAAAATCCCGATCTTGACAATATTGGTCTTTACTATATAAATATCGATCACTATAAGAAAGATGTAATATAAGAAATTCTTATCTTCAAGATATGAGGTATACATATCACGCCACTCCATATCTTGTTATCCCTTATCCATGTCGTCTCCTCTCTCGACCATCTCAACACCATCTTCAAACCACTAATAATGGGGGTGGTGTTCAATGGATGCTATGCCGAGAATGAAGATGAAGCAAAAAAGAAAGAAGTGATAAAAAGGAGGAAGAAAAGGTGTGTTCGAGCGTGAGCAACACATGAGAGACCATGCAACCTCAACTTCATGTATCTCGGGGGTGATATGCACACTATGGTTGATCGTCCATCTTAACATCATGTTGTGGCGTGATGTGTATACTAGATAGCCTTATAAAACATTTTTCTTACTTTCTCTCATTGTCTAATCCTAATCATAGTGATATATTTGAAAGACAAAACGAACAACAAAATCGTTTTTGATTTCTATTATTGAAAAAAACTCATTATACATCTTTTCTTGTTCTTTCTCTTTTACTCATTTCTATCCAAAAAGGAACTTGACGCCATAATAAAAGTAGTTTTAAACTTTATGTTATAATGTGCAGAAATTAACAGATCGAGCTCAAACTTCAAACCGATCAGTCCAATTAAAATCGATCAACTAACATTGGAATTTAATTGTTATTTGATTTGGCTCCATTTGACCATCACTTGAGAGGAGTAAATTATTCAAATTGCATAATATAATTATACTTTCCATTAATCAGTTAATTAAATAACCTTAATTAAATTTCTAGAATTAAAGAAGTTAAATCATATCACATTGTGGAAGATTTCATCAGTTATAATCACTTCCATAACCCTAGCTTCATCATCCTTATGCCACCACAATAGTTACAGTCACCATCATCTTGTTTTGTCGCGATAAAACACTCCTACCAATCCTACACAATCCTACACTGTTATCCGTCACAACATCACCATACGTAAACCGCCAACCACTCCATTATCAAATCCTAGATTTTCTTCTACATTTTTTGGGGCGGTTCATCTCAAATCAATTGACGTCTATTTTCTTGAACCTACTACTCCATTTCAAGAAGGAAAGATGGGCTTCATTCTCTTCATTGTTATTTATTTTCATTCTATTTTGGCATAATACTCTTTTTGAATACATGCTTTGATGATGATTTCAATTCGCCCATCACCACAACCGAGATCAACTTATACATTTTATGGGGATATTTATCTCAAATTATTCAACACCTATGTTCTTGGATCGACAAGTCGATTTTAAGAAGGAAGAATTGGATTGATTCTTTTCGTTCTCAAAGAATGTTCTCTATGTTCATTCCATTTTCGCATGATACTCTTTTAGTATACATTCATTGATAATTCTTTCAATCCCATTATATGTGAACATGACATTTTCATTATATGATGAATTTTTCAGCCTCATTCATGTTCGTTTCATTATGACAAAATATTTGTTAAGAACATATTCAATGTTTTTTATTATTTAAGAATGTTATTTCTTCCATTCTCATAAAATAATATCAAAATTTTTGATGTGAAATTGTATCTCATTCTCGTATCATTCTCACACATTCTCATTTATTATCATAGAATGTTTCATGTACGTCACCGGTTTTATCGTAATAGTTTAGTTATTAAAGAATGAAATTTGATTATTACTTATTTAAATTTGTTTCATGTAAATTTGTTATTCTTAAAGAATGAAATCAGATTCTATAACATTGATTTAAATAAATTTAATTTATAAGAATCATAAATTAGAGAATGAAATCATATTATGAAACGGGATTATCGTGATAATAAGCATTGGAAATTAAGATTGATTTTGAATTTAGAATTGATTATAAAATAGGTCAAAACTAAATGCAAGAATTCCCTTTTCCATAAGTCAAATGTATAAAAAAGGACCATATTATCCTTTAAGTGGTTTAAAATTGAAAGTTCTATATATTTTTTATTTAAAAGGAATAATAATATTCATTTATTAATCACAATCATTGATTTTGAAAATGCAATTGCTAGAAATTTGTTATATATTCACACAATAGATATAATTTACATTTAATCATAATTCTCCCTCTCTTTTTAGAAAGTATAATGGTTAGAAAGTCTTTATGAAGATTAAGCTTCCTTTTGTTTGGAAGTTGGCTTAGCAAGTTTTTGTGACTTCGGAAGTTTCGCTAATTATAATTTACTTAATAATAGGAGTAAAAGAATTATGTTTATGTCTAATTAAACTTCTATATATGAATATTAAGTTTCCTAGTCGTTTGTAACTTAAGTAATAACTTGTAATTGCATTAGCATTAAGGTGACTACTCTACTTCTAGAACACATGTCCCTATTATATGATTTACTTTGATTTTGTATTTCCATTATATGCAATATTATATATATATATATATATATATATATATATATATATATATATATATATATATTTCTTGGATACTATATGTATAAGAAATGCAATATTTTGTTTGATGTTATGATTTCTTGTCGTGGACATCCTTACTTGATCTAAGGACATGTTTCTGAATGGATTTTAAAGTGGGGGTTTACGTAAGCAGTTTAATAAGCTTTGATTATCACTTAGACCAATTTTATATGTTTGAATTAACTTAAAATTTATCTCTTGATTATGATTAAATATCATTTTAGATGGGTTGATACTTGAGAGGTCCATGTTCCCAAAGTACCATGTAACACCTAGTTTAAAGATGTTTCTAATTTCAGGATACCAGACTGTATTTTCATTAAGTAATGATCTTGGGCTTCAAGAGAATAAATTTTAGATCTTATTGGATATTGATAATCTTGGTTAAGTGGTTGAAGCAATCGAATTATACTTTAAAGCAAAAGGGTAAAATGAGAAATATGATACATCGGGCTTCTTGCATGGATTAATGATTTTAGTTAGGTATGTTTTAATTCAAAAATAAGTATATAGGATTGTGGGGCTTTTCAATATCTTTGTGTACATATACAAATCACTAGAAACGAAGTTAGAACGAAGAAGTTATGACTATTTGAAGCTGAAGCTGAAAACCGAGAACAATCAGGAAATTATAGGAAGCGCGGAGCGCCCTTTAGTGAGTAAAGAGTGCTTGTGGCCCAGTGGGTTGCATTTTTTAGGGTTTTTGAGGGTATTTAAAGTTCGTTAACCTTTAGGGTTTGTCATTTTTCAACCTTCATCACCTCTATAATTATCCCAAGTGAAACCCTAGCCTCTCTTCTCTAATTTTGAGCTTGAAAACATTTTTAGAGGCTTATATCTCATTCTTGGAGTGAAGCTACAATAAATTATTTTTGGTTGTAAGGGATGTTGTCTCCAGTTTGGATCAATAAAGTTCACATATTTTCTAGGCTTTTGTAAGTATAAAGCTTCAACCTTTCCTTTCTAGTTGTTAGATCTTGCTAATGGTCCCTTTTATGCACTTTTGGTCCCATTTTGTTAATGAGTTACTCCTTTTTGAGAGCTTAGAATTGTTTAGTGGATCATTTGGACTTGTAAAGTAGACATCTTATGTATGTTATTTTATCCATGAATGTTATTTTAGTCCTTTTGGTCATTTTTGTGCATTAAAGTCTAGATCTTGTAAGTTTGTGAAATCGTAATGGGTAAAATTGGAAACTTTATCCAGCTTGACACCATGTTGTTTCCTATCCGAAAGTTAGAGGCTTGGACTTAAGAGATTAAGTTGAAAAAAATGCATTCTTGGACTTTTTGAGACTTAAAGTATAGATCGTGGTTGTTTTGGAATGGATTGACGGACGGATAAAGTTGGAAACTTTATCCATTTTGACCATATGGGAATTCAGATCTGTAATTTGGGGGATTGACTTAACTGATTAAGTCACTTAGCCCTTTAGATTCAACCTGCACGTGATGTGCTTTTCCTTAGCGTGGCACACTTTTGGAGTTTTCTAATAAGTGCTTGAATTTAAGATAGATCTCTACTATTTTTTCTTGTAGTATGCGTTGGGCGCCTGTAAGGGGGCGTTGTGTGTCGTTGCTCATAGTGTTGACTTTGATCATTGACCGTTAATTTTTGAAAGTTTTGATTTTTGG